TTCGACAGGAACAGCCAGCATCAGCGTCGTCCGGCTTCGTCCGTCTTCACGCCAAATTCATCGTCACCCAAGCTTTGCGTAATATTTCGACAAGCCGAATGCGTGTGTGTTGAAACATCCCAGTGACGTCATTAACACGTGGCACCCATACTAATTCTACTAGTGGCCGAAGCAACTAACTTCCACTCTCACCTATGACATTCTCGTAAAGAGATCAAAGATCAAACATCATCGATCACCTCTAAATCTTAATCTAACAAGAAAAAATTTACAAAGACAATCACGCAAAACTAACTCTTTTGGGATCAGTGGAACTGAGGAGCCGCCCGGTATGATAGCCAACAGGTTGTCCCAACCGCCAATAACACCCCCACAATGGCGTTCGATGAGCTCTTTCAACGGGACTGACATTTCTTCCTCCACGGTGCATGGATTCACAACATGTCCCGAGATGCAATAAAGCTGAAATATACATAGTGCTGTTGTCGTACTCAAAATATGCAATATGACATTGTTATCTTACAGCAATTCGAAGGGGACAACTAATCCCTCTTTCATTCCTGCTCCTACCCGCATGCACAGTTCGGTCAGTGTTTACAGCTAAGGGATGAAACACAGAGGCTGCTTCGTAAATGTCTTCTTATACATGATGTTTAAGTCCAATCTCTCTATTACTATTTTATTAATTTTGTTGGGAAATTGAAAACTGGTACACTGAGTGTTTGTCATGTCTGCGTTCGGGGAATTTTACGACCACAAATGAATATAGAATATCCTCGCAAATTTCCTACCCACACGCAAATTTTGGTCAGTGTTTGCAGCTAAGGGATGAAACACAGACAGACAGACTGCATCAAAAAATTTTCTTCTTACATATGACACTTACATCCAATTACTCTATTCTGTTATTAGTTTTGATGGCAAATTGATACTGGCATATTCTCGAGGAGTCTAACACTAGTCATTCGTTTACTTGCAAACAACTCTTGAAAGAGGGAACTCTTGCCATGGGGATGGTGCTTGTTGGTATTTGCTTTCTTCGAGCTAGTTCTTGAATGCCTACAAAGCCAATACAATGGGAGCTTTACCATAGCATAACATGGTTTCCGCACCATACTACAGCACCTAATTTTAGTCCAAGGATATAAAGTACAAGGCAAAAATAAAATTTAGCCAAAATGGTACTGTATTTGTTATAAAAAAGACAAAATTTTGCAAAAATACATAAAAAGTAAAGTCGGAAATTAAACTAATAAATTCAGTCCGGCTACGACTTACAGTCTATCCCTGTATTACAAACTATGATGACTCCAAAATTTCGGAATTTATTTTTTTTTTCTTCAAAAAACTATATATATTTGATGGGAATTTCAGCGATTATCCTGTCCCGAATCTCATTAATCTCGCAGTAGTCGAGATGGAAATCAGCAACACAAGATTTATCGGCTTGGTTACCTTGGTTCCATGATTTCGTTCACGTCCAAAAGAAGCGAACCATGCGGCACCACGTTTGCATATTGCCGGTGCCGATGCAATTGTTTCCACATTATTCACAGTGGTCGGACATCCGAACAGGCCAATATCGGCTGGGAAAGGCGGCTTCAGACGTGGCTTGCCCTGTTTGCCTTCCATTGATTCGATTAGCGCCTAAAAATTTTAAGCATATTCATTGAGAAGCTGCTGCTACAGCCCAGGATAAGGAGGGACATAGTTGCGATTGCTTGATAATAGAAAGTTATAATAAGGAATGAAATAAGGAGGGGGGAGGGGGAAGGGAAAAAAAGGAAAAAGGTAGGAAATGAAAATCAGAAATTTGTGAGATTATTATAATCGTAAGAAATGTTTTGGTCCATTAAGTCGTATACATTTCTTACCACTACCACAACTGGACCTCGTCAGTAAGAAGACTGTGGGATAATTGAAATTAGTGAAAATTAGATTTGATAATACCGTGGATAGAATAGTATTTAAG